GGTTAGGGTTTAGGGTTTAGGGGTTCGGGTTTAGGGTTTAGGGTTTAGGGTTTAGGGCTTAGGGTTTGGGGTTTAGGGTTTGGGGTTTGGGGTTTGGGGTTTGGGGTTTAGGGTTTAGGGTTTAGGGCCAGAAACATCGCGCCTGCGCACCTCCTGACAAAGAGCGCGGGCGACCCGCCCCCTTCCAAAATTCCGGAACCCAGCGAAAACCGCAGAGGGTGGTCGTTTATGAAAGAAAGAAGGAAAAAGAAAACAATGTTTGCGAACGTCCCAACTCCGGAAACATCGCGCCTGCGCATGTTTTGTGTACCTCCAGAAAAAGGGCGCGGGCAAACGGCAGCTTTGCCCCGTAGTAGTAGTAGTAGTAGTAGTAGTAGTAGTAGTAGTAGTAGTAGTAGTAGTAGTAGTAGTAGTAGTAGTAGTAGTAGTAGTAGTAGTAGTATTAGTAGTTGTAGTAGTAGTAGTAGTAGTAGTAGTAGTAGTAGTAGTAGTAGTAGTAGTAGTAGTAGTAGTAGTAGTAGTAGTAGTAGTAGTAGTAGTAAGTAGTAGTAGTAGTAGTAGTAGTAGTAGTAGTAGTAGTAGTAGTAGTAGTAGTAGTAGTAGTAGTAGTAGTAGTAGTAGTAGTAGTAAGTAGTAATAGTAATAGTAGTAGTAGTAGCAGCAGCAGCAGTGTTCGTCGCAGCAGCAGAAATAGTTAGTGGTAGTCGTAGTAGTGGTCGTAGTCGCAGTCGAAGTCATCGTCGTCGTAAGAATGGAACTGGTAGTGGTGGGGTTTCAGAGTTTGGGGTTTAGGTTGAAACTTCAGATTGGTTCCAGCTTCCAAGTGAAAGGTTTCCCAGTAAACAAAGCGGGAGAGTGCTTCGCACCCCCATTTTGCCGTTAGGCAAAAAAACCCAGTCCACTATGTCCGGCTGACCTGGCGGGAGCCAGTACTCCAAGTCCAGCTCACTCAACGGCTTCTTGGACGAAGGAGCGTAGCAGTAAGCAAAGCCAGACCAATAGGAATTGCGCCCACTACCGCCGGACGCACAATGCATAGTCGCATTCTCCTTCTCCCGCAAGCGTCGCGCAAGAAGCCTCCACCTACACAAGTGTGTGGTCTGTACTACCGCGTGAAAGTGCCAGTTTTGTTCCAAGGACTGGCTTTGTTGGTGGCGCTCTCGAAAAACTGACATATGCTGGATCACTTGGCCCTGTGCACGATAAGCTGCCTGAAGCTTATCGGCAATCTCCGGCCGCGTGACGTCGGCACTGACGCCAGACCACGTCCAAAAATAGACCAGCCTCTGGTCATCTGGACTGGCGGGCTTGGCATCGTTGTCTGTCCTGTTCATGAGAGGCGTCGGATCCGCGTCACCGTCGTTGCAAGACTGGGCACGCAAGGAATGCGTGGGCGTGGAAGAAGAGGAGGACGAAGAACAGGAAGAAGAGGAAACTCTTGGCGAGGGCGAAGGTGGCATCGCTCGCGCACACACGACGGAAGGACCCAGCTGTCTCGCTTAGATCCTCAAGGCACACACCAGGCAGTACTACAGTACTACAGTCCTGCAGGTATCGAAATGAAAGGATATAACGATTTTGGATGCCAAGCCATGGCTATAATTCTTGCCTTCTTGCAACGGAATATGCGTTTTCCCGTGCTTCTTTGGTACTGAGAGCCTCAATCCTTGTGACTCTTGCCTGTTTTGGGCACGCTTCTCTGGTTTAGGCCTCCGCCCCGAGTCTCTAGCAGACTCTAGCTTGCCTCCGACCCCTGCAGTCTGTATCTCCAAGCCTCCGGCCCCTGCAATCTCGAATTCAGCACTCTAACACCAGGTCTGCGGCCCCTGCAGCCTGTAGTTCAGACCTTGGCCCCTGCAGTCTTTCGTGTAGCCTCGGGCGTCGAGGAGGGTGACACCTTCAGATTGGCCTGAAACCTCCACGGACATGGCTGTTGCCTGCGGCAACACGCCGCCTTGGCTGTCAGGCTGCGAGCGTGGAGCCCAGTCCACGCGTCCTGGTCAGGCTGTTTTGTGACTTCGCGGGTTCCTACGCCCGAATGCGTCCGGTCCGCGCAGCAACCTAAGAGCTTACGAAACCGTGCACAAGGGCACAAGTCTAGCTCGAGCCAAAATTGGCATTCATTCGAATTGCAAAACTAAACATGCAAAGACAATCTTCACTACGGCACTGGCTGCTGAGCACATGTTCCATGTGTGCTTTGACCTGCTCACATGTATTACTACTTGTATTACTACTTGTTCTATTACTGCTACTACTACTACTACTACTACTACTACTACTACTACTACTACTACTACCTATACCACTACTACCTACTACTCCTGCTACTAGTACTACTACTACTACTACTACTACTACTACTACTACTACTACTACTACTACTACTACTGCTACTGCTACTGCTACTACTACTACTACTACTACTACTACTACTACTACTACTACTATGTAGAGCAGTCATGACTGCAGCGTAGCTTGTTTTGTGTGGAGCAGAAGATGTCTTTCTGGGAATAACAGCTTGAAGCACGAAGTACTTCTGTTTACTCAGCAACAGAAGAGACAGTGCGCAGACCTCTTAATGGTCATCAGTGGGAGGTATCAAGACCCGAGCCACAACGCAACTGAGAACCGAAGTTCTGATTATCACTGAAGCTTGGGGGCTGCGGTGGCAACCCTAAGATCCCTAAGGTGTAGGCCCTAAGATCCCTAAGGTGTAGGGTTGCAAACTCCATGGGTGACACTTGCAGCTATCCAAGACGAATGCTTGCCTCACGAGACAGAAACAGTCCGGCTGTTGATCACAATCGTGTTTCGTTTAACCCCGTGCATGTTTTGGTGATCGTATTTTCCTTGGGTTTTTTTCGGCGTTTCAATTTGTCCTTTCGTTCCAGCCTCATGTGCATGTTCAAAGCATCGCATCTGGCTGGCAATGTGGTCCTGTCGTGGTGTTGGGCAGTATTGTATCCACGTTGGTGCCATGTTTTGAAAATTTGATTTGTTAGCACGGTTTGGTTTGTTATTTTCATTTTACCCATGTACATGTTGAACAAGTTTTGCCTTTTGAGATGCGAACACCTCTGGTTTGAGGACAAATGAATCATTAATAAATAAATGGTGCCCCGCCAGTTCCGCAGGGTTTGTGCATTTCAGCGTTCCAGTTTAAATCATGTGGGCAAAGCAGAGTTGTTTGGTCAGGAAAATATACACAAATGTGGTGGAAAGTAAATGTTAACATGGCTCCACAAAATCTCCGATAACATCCAGCACATGCATGCAGTATCGCGATGGAAGCGAGCGCTTGCAAGACTGGAAGTGCGAGAGGCGCCAGCCACATGTTTAGAGCTAACGTGTTTCGTCACAAAACATGGTGCAATTAGCTGCTACGCAACATGTTGATTGCGCGACCGTGCAACCTGAGCGTGCTTCAGGTATCAGGGTTGTGGCTTCTGCACAGAGCGCGCCGAGCAGTGTCCAGCAACCAGGTTGGGAACTCCCGGAGCATTTGGTCATGTTGCTCTTAGCCTGTGTGGCTGAGGTGCAGACCGGCTCGCCGGACCCTCGTTGGCGAGATGACCATACAGCGGCCGATCAGCGCAAGCCGCCACATGGCTCATCTAGTGCAATACCATGTTAGGTCAGGTGTAAAGCGGCAAAACATGGGATGCATGTGCGAATCTGACATATATTTTGAGCACATCTCTGAAGTCGAAAGCGAGATCAATTCGGGCTTCACAGGCACGCAGGTATTCTACAATAGGCACGCAGGTATTCCACAATATTTTCAATTCAGATTTTGAAGGCGATTTGCAGTAGTGCTCACGCGTCACATGACAGCATGTGCAGCATGGTGCCATCAACATATTCATTTTTTCCGACATAACGCAGTCCATGATCACGATCTTCCGCTCAGAGCAGTGCATGCGATGCGTTGTACGATCAGGGTTGTACGCTCAGCACATGATTCTTTTTCCATTCTGATTCACATCGTTGTTGGAACTGTCGTGAGCCCCTGCGGTGTGTACAGTTCTCAATGCAGTTTTGGCGTCTCAGCATTCCGGCCTAAATCTCACCATGTTGTATGAGTATTTCCTTCCTCATCACTCCTTTCACCTCACGACACCGCAATGTCAACAAGAACCTGCAGGACCTCATCTCAGGCAGAGTGGTTGTCAGCAGCATGCACATCCCCCTCCAAAAGCTATCATTTGTACGAGATGCCCCTGTCAGATGGCTTTAAGTTTGGGTATGACGTATGAGCCTTCCAATGCAGAGACTGCCGGCTCACACCTATATAGGTATTTTCCCGTGGCAACCACACTATCATTTTTCAAGCACTGCCATTCTCAGTGTGCAAGCGTATAGCATTGTAAAGAACCTCCCCCGCCCTCCCGCTCCCCGCTGCCATCCACCGCCCAAAAGTCAGCTTTGAAATGCACTGCCCTATACTATACAAAGCGAAGGCCAACACCTACTTATGGGGGCGGCGCAAAACAAACAGAAGGCAGATCGACACCACAACCCTCAACCGACTACTGGAGCGAAGGAGGCCTGTCATGCCACTCACCATCCAAACACCGAACGATACAAAAGGCCCGAGGGACGGGGTCAACACCAACTAGATTGCTTGTGAATATCCATACATGAATCAGAAAGTTATTCTACAAACCTTAAAATACCTTAGATGCAGAAGCCCCCAAAGGAAAGTTTCGAGGACACTTCTCTGCCCTTTTTACTACGAATGATATGGCGCGCCCCTTTAGTCTGTGGAATAAGCCACCCTAACTCAGAGTACCTGGCGGTCTGTCAGCTTTTTCGAGCTTTGGCGGGTCGGAACGGTTCCCGACTGTTCAGGTCTGTTCTTGGGGCTGACTCTGAACAGCTCTGAGAATGCACTGACAGTTCCTGAGCGTTGTCCGAAATGGGTGATCAATGGCAGCAAGGGATGACCACCACCTTCACCCAACACAATGCGGGCTGAATGCGCCCCAAACGCCGAACCCAAGCTTCTATCCTTAGCCAAGTATTGGCTTACTGGCCACAGGCATGCCAGTCTTGCTTCCATTTTAGATTGGCGCATGACCTTCGACACAGTGGGTCATCGTTTCGTGCATGCTGCGCTAGAGCGCTTTGGAGTACGTTAGCGCTCAGATAAGTTCTGACGCGTGTACCGATGAGAGACTGCACACCAGTGGTAGAAACCGGCGAAACCAGAATTGTTCAAGAGGCTGTCCAAAGGCTGTGCTTGACTTAATCATGGCAGCCACCAAACAACGGAGTGGGAAACTGAAGTCATGAATGTTGTTTAACCTTTCGAGTAGTGACCAGTGGCAGAAACTTGGCATCGACTCTAAACACACAAGCACAGAGTTAGGGAGGCACAGATGGATGCCCAGCTGAGGTTACCAATGCGGCTTTCCACTTTGGAAGGGCCGACATGGCACTTCGTGGCGCTGCAGGCCTAATCGTCAAAACAGTTTTGGTGTATTCTTCGCTTGATTTGGAGCTTGACTGTGGAGAAAGCGCAAATCGGAGGCCGCCCTTCGAGAGAGGCAGAGTCAAGAACGAGGGCGCCCAATACTGAATGATGTTCATCAGCAGCTTGTGAATGCTGGCATCAACAAGGCCACAAAGAGGATATTTTCTTTGAAGTTCGATGTATTGAAATGTACTGAAGTTCAATGAGAAGGCAATCTTGGCCTCGTCCTTGATGATGATGTGTTCTCAATTAGACGCGGGTCTGTCGCAGTTGCTAGGGCTGCTAGGGATTCCGCCTCTCTTTCAATGGAACGGTGGTGCTGGCTGAAAGCCACAGTTGAAAGGCGGAAATGCTGCAAGAGAAGATCTGTGCATACTTTAACGGTGTTGACATCCAGGCACGAACGTGCGTTTGCTGTGCCTAGCCTTGCTCAGAATGGCAGTCGAACTGTACAAAACGCAGGTTATTGAAGACCTGGATGCGCACTTATTGGGCATCCATGGCATCCTGCTGGAGGACTTGCCCTTGACGAAGTTGCAAGAATTCCTGGAAGATCCATCCATATTCGACAAAGACTCCGAAGCACTGCAAGAGACCTGGAAAGAGCTTTATGGTTCTGGTCGCATGCCCATCCCGACTGCGGAGACCCAGGCATGCTTCAGAGGAGTGCACTAGGGCTTTAGTAGTCTTTCGTACGTATCTGTGTTCATAGTTCGGCTTTGACTTTGTAGGGTCGTTATTTGTCACGAAGACTCGGCGCTCGAACTTTGTCCAGGTTGGTGCGAAGTACTTTAAAATTGCCCTTCAGCTTCTCTTGTACCATCTTGCATCCCTATGTCAGCTTTTGCACCTGAAGGCCAAAGCTTGCCACGAGCACGAAGTGTCGCAAAGACGGAGGCAATTTGTAGTTGTGTCTTGGACTGCCGAGCCATGTTGGCCAAAGCCCTCGAGTGTCGAATCGGGATCACTGCAACCTCAATTAAAAGGCATAAGAGAGCGAAGTCTTGTTCTGTCTGGACAGCCTCAGGAGCACATGGCGGAGACACAAGCTCTTCGAGAGTTTCTTGAAGCACGGGAAGCTCATGCAGAGGCTGGACGTGGAGCGATGACCGGAGGCACAAAGAGCCTTTGGATGCCCTGGGTGGCGGAGATGTCGAATGTCCTCTCGGACAGGGAGGCTGAGCAGCGCAGGGGGCGAGGATCGAAGGGCTTCAAGAGATTGACTGCGTCGGGACTGGAGCCAGAACTACTGGCCATTATTACCAGCCAGACCGTGCTGAACCTGCTCATGCTGCCATGCTTTCGGAATAAGGACGAGATGGAAGAGGCTGCCAGGCAGAATCGATTTGGAGACGTTCCGTTCACTACGGCAGCCGTAAGCGTCGGGGAGGCCGTCTGTAAAGGGAAGGAAGGGCGCATGTTTTTTTGCTAGATATAGTAGTGGGATGTGGTAGTAGCGGGATGTGGTGGGACCTTGTTGGCCCATGTGAGGAAAGAATAGAAACCAGAATGTAAGGTACAATGCCTAGAGGCAGGCCGTCTTCAATATTGTTTCATGAAGGCAGGGAAGCCTTTTCCAGCTAGCATGGTTTGTAGACAGCATCCATGAAGAATCATTTCATCAAGATGTGACATAAGAAACCAGTTGGATGTTGAGTCATCTTGAGCAACATGTGTTGGCTTGGGGTTTGTACCTGTATGTGCCTGTACTTAATTATGTTTGTTCCTTAGCGTCCTTTTGCAAAACGTTTGAGGCGGTCGAGAATGAGCTTTTATGGCGCGAGATTGCTGCCTATGAAAGCGGTCATGGTACGAACACGTCAGAAGGACTTGCTTGCTGCCTGAAGCACGGATGAATGCACTTTTCAGCTGGAGTGCATTGAGTGTAGGCGAAAACCTGCGACTGTCAGGAGCCAAAAAGATGCTGCAAGTGCGCAGGCTTAAGCAGGCTGGATCAGACGAAAGCAGGGGCTTTGCAACCTTCTCACATAGGCGCAGCTTGACCCAAGCCAGGCTTTCCGGGACAAGACCCAGACGGTTCCTTTGGGAGCGGCGCTGGTGGACTTACTGATCGACTGCTCCACTTTCCGCGTTCCAGCCACAAGTAGCGAAGCCGAGGCCGTCGAGTCTTGGGCAAAGTTAGCCGACTGTGGCTTCTTTTGATTTGTGTGCAGATGTCTCTGGCCTCTCAATTTTTTGGCAGGTTCAAATGTCTACGGATGGGTTCGCCCCCAAGATAGCCATTGGGGCCATGTCTCTGCAACCAAGTGTCGGCTCTGGGTTCGCTGAAAGTTTAAAGCTTCTCTGCAGTCTTTGGCAAGCCCTCGATCTGTCGGTCGGCTAGCGGAAGAATGCCGGGACATTCCGGGATACTGAATGACAGCCCATTGTCTTTGGCTGCTTAGTGTGAATGTTGAAGAAGCGGACTACCCAGCCGAACAACAATCCAGTAAGCTGGAATACTACAGGCAGGCCAGTATTCAGCAGGTATAGACTGCAAGACATAGCAAATAAGGTAGAAACATATGGTAACTCTTTTGCTGGATTGGGTGCAGGCTTTTCGCAAAGTAGGTCACTGTCGTCGAATACTGGCTGCCCTGAACCAACAACACCTCTTGCTCATGATCCGTAGTATTTATCTCCAATCGGGGCCTGATATCTCCGTATTGAGCTACTAGTAGATTAGGGTTAGGGGGCATTTCTCAGTTAGGCATTTCTCAGTTAAGCAGATTTTCGGGGATTGGGTTCTTGGGGTCCAGTGTCTTGTTGACTTGCTTGTTTTGGGTGTGGGCTTTGAGTGTTTCCGGTTTGTGCTTCTTGTTGCGTTCAGGTTTTACTTTCGGGTTGGACTTGTGTGCTTTTGGCAGCTGGCTTCTTCTTTTGGCCTTTGACTGGTTTCGTTTCTCTTCGTTGACATGGGCTTCGAAGCGTGTTTCCGCATTGCATGAAGCACAAAGCCCATCACAGGGAACAGGGGCCCACGCCTGCAACCCTTGTTGGGCAAGTCTTCATCCCTATTTTGCCGCACGTACACAAGCACGGTCTTGAATGTTCACTGAGCCTATGGTCCAAGTGCTTGCGCAGAAGTTGTTGTTAGTTGCTGCAGCTCTGTTTCCCTCCGACCCCAGGCGAGATGTCAATGGATCCGCCTTTGAGAAGGCTGGAGCATCATGGAGCGTGATGGAACATGTCAGCTGCACTTCAGGCACGTCAAGCCTCTGATCTTGTAGCCAGGCCTTGATACATGGCAAGCGACGGGAGGGAGTAAAACAGGTCTCGCACTCAAGGAACCTTTCCGAGTGTCAGACTTCCTCCATTTTTTTCCACGTCACAGAGGTTGGGTACTTGGCATTACATCCAGCAGCACGGTCACGGATGGAGTCGGAGGACCATCTGCTTTGTGTTTTAGACTTCAAGTGGAATTCAGTGGAATGCGATGGGAGTGCGGGAGTGCAACGGCAGGGTGAGCTCCTGCGTTTCATCAAGCCAAAGTTGCAACCAATGGTCATCCCTCCTTCCCCATGGCGGCCATGTGGAGACTCACCTCAAGGCCGCTTTCCTCTTCTTTCCACTTCAGTGCATTTTCTTGGCTGATTTGGCAAGGCCCCTACATTCTCCACAAGACCGCATTCGTGAGAACTCAATCTGAGCACATGGCGCAGCTCAGAAGCTATGGTGCATCGCGAAGTGCTCAAATTATGGACTCGAACAGTGATTGTTCAAGTGATGTTGAGAGCTTGAGGGTGGAGTTTCATGCAGCCGAGAAAGATCTCGCCCGTCGGCAGGATTCCTTGGGAAACACGCCGTGGAGGATCAATGGAGACATTCTGGCCTGGATTAAGGAGGCCCAGTTCCGCGATTTGGCCATTGCAGAGGTCCCGCCCAAGACAGATCCGCTTGTAGCTCGACCTCATCTGTTTCCACTTTGCGCTTTTAGTGGCATGTGCCGCGCAAGCTTTGCAAGGGTGTTTTCACAAGCAGCAGGGTCTCTTGTTTTGTACCTGTTTTCTGCTCCTCTCCTTGTCGGGCTTCTCGCCGGCAAACACCTGAAACCGAGAGCTCGAAACCTTTGGAAGTAAGAGTTGCCGAAGTCGCTGGAAATCGAAATGTTCTCGCTCACACAGAAGCGTTTTTTGCCAGTCTTGTCTTAGCTGCTGTGGAGAGCTGGAAAATATGTCGACAGTGCCGTCATTTTTGAAACGGGAATCCGAATTCTCGTAAAACACGTGGGTCCGGAAGTCAAGGAGCTGGAGCCCTAATTTTCAATGAAACAGCTTCATCTCCGCTCTAGGTGTTCGCTCTGGCCTCTTTGGCACATGCCAGTTGCTAAAGAGTCTTGTGTTTCTTGCATCTCTCTCCTTGTCTCTCTCCCTGTCTTTACTTCAGACGAGAGGTTGCACTCAACACGCAAGACTCAGTAAGACCCTACATAGCCTTGCTGTACTCCGCCTCCACGGGCGTTACAGCTCGAGGCACATAAGCTTGAACGTGACGCTCTCCTTCCCTTTTGCCACCTCTTGGCCATGTCCGTGACCGTGCTGGGCGAGCGACCGCCACCCCCTCACCAGCCCCTCATTCGAGAGGCGGGTGAAGAGACCCAGAAGGAGAAGAGAGTCCGGCCGAATCTGCTCAGCAGGAGTGTTCTCAACACGATAGGTCACATGTGCTAGGACCTAGTTTCCCGAACCCGGGTCCTGATTCTCCACCTCAAGGCCTCTCCTCCCCACCTTTTCCTCCCTCCACCTATCCCCGAAAAAGAGCCACGCCTTTGACCAGGCGTAGGGGTGTGTGCCCAGCACCTAGTTTTCCGAACGGGTCCTGGCAGGGCTGAGTGTGTGCCCTTTTCCCTTCTCCCTCTGAGTACAGTCACCAAGACAACCACCCCCGTGTTGCTGCCGCGAGGCCGTGATCGACCCAGCTGCCTTGTTAGCACAAATTTGCCGCGTTTCTTTGAAAAAGTTTGCCTGTTTTTCAACAGCACGAAACCCTTGGAACTTGAGATCTTCATAGCTCGAAAGCTACACCACAACAATCTGGGTACCAGTATCAGCTGAAGCCCTGATAATTCTCACAAATGAGCGATGGTTACAAGAGTTTGTGCTTCGAGTGCTCTTAAGATAGAGCTGAGCGGAAGCCAGCAGTCCAAGAGATTCCAGAGAATGCAGGAAGGCAGAGGAAGTGAGAGAGGTGGAGTCAGACGCTTTTCTCAACATGTGTTCATCGATCGTTGCAAACGGCCAGCACACCGTGCTTTCGACCGAACAAGGTCCCCCCTCTTCCAGATGAGGACGACCCGAATTATCAGGTTCTGCGTCTCAGGCTGACGGTGAAGTGTGGAATGCGAAAGTAGATATTCGCCTTGTGCTGCAGAGGCGTCTCAACGCAGAAAAGCGTGTCCGCGAACTGCGATCGGAGCTTTGCTGGAAGTTTCGGCGACAGTTCATGAGTTCATGAAGCTGCTCATCGTGTACGCTTCCTGTCGTGTGTCATGCGGTGGTTTTTGCCGGAAGAGGCTGCCGGAACTTGTCACATTGTAGAGCACTCTGCTCAACGTAAACAGCGGGGAGTCGAGGCTGAAGGAGTTTACCGGTAGTCGATGGCTACACACCAAAGCTTCGACTTCAGCACAATCGTCCACGAGCGTAGGTGGGGCAATGTGAGGTAAAAATCATTTCCTTCTAGCAGCTCGCTAGAGCTCGGTCTTGTGTCTCCTTAGTTGTAGATGGTGCAGCGTTTTCTTTGAACCACTGCCGTGTCTGTTGTTTGCAGTCGTCGCGAGCTTGTAAGGAGCGGCCAACCTTTGCGTTGAAGCTTCGGGTTGCAGAAGACTTCCTCAATGCAGATCGGCTTTACTTTCCGCACAACGTGGATTTTCGCGGGCGCTGCTATCCCCTGCCGCCGCGTGCCCAGTGGGACTCCCCTTGAAGGACTCCCCTTGAAGGACTCCCTCTTGGGATCCCCCCCCCTTGTGAGTTTCTTTCGAAAGCACAGCCGGAGGCCGCACTTGAACCACATGGGGGATGACGTCAGCCGCGCGCTGCTGATGTTCTCGGAGAGCAAGCCTTTGGGACGTGAAGGTCTCTTCTGGCTGAAGGTGGACGTAGCCAACCTACATGGCAAGAATAAGATATCGCTTGAAGAACGGGTGAAATGGGTGGACGACCGCAAAGACATCATCATCCAGGCTCACACGATATTGCGCGTAACGTGCCCAAGAGAATTTGAAAGACCAGACCCGGAGGTTGCTGAGAATCCTTTGAGCCCAGAGTCTATTGACCACTGGGCCCATGCAGACGACGGGCCCGGGCCCAAAACGTACATAATGTGCATTTGTTTGTGCTTGTACTTGCCCCAATTGCCTCGCTCCAGTGCCGTGCAGCTCCAGAGGCCGTGGCAGGTCCTGGCCCGGTACCTGGAGCTCGCGGAGCTCTACAAGAACCCAGGGGCCGAAGAGGCGACCCCATTGGTTGTGACATGTTTGACATGTTGGTGACATACCAAATATGACATAAATGTGCTTGTCATTGTGTTTTTTCTAAGGACTTTAGAAGCCATCTGCCTGTCCACGTGGACGGGTCCTGTAATGGTCTCCAGCTCGTATCTCAGCAACAACAGTATCACATGCTTCTGGCATTTTTTGGCCTCAACATGCCTCAGCACCAGGCACTATGCGGCTTTGGGCCGAGATCTTGCAGGTGGACGAGCACGGCCCTTGGGCCGTCGCGCGCACACACACACATGCGCGCAAACTGCCAGCAGAGCACACCTTCGACCCGGACGTTCGAGGCTGTGAACCTGCTCCCCGACGACAAGCCTCAGGACGTCTATACGGTTGTCTTGAAGATCGTCATAGACAAGGCCAGATCTAAAGCTTGCTGTGCAGGACATCGCCGGGGATAGCTTCGCTGCAAAACAAACTGCTACAGATGCTCCTTGTTGCAAAGGTGAAAACAGATGCCGACAAACCAGCACAGGCCCAGAATGTTGACACGACTTCCAAGTCTGGTTTGTTCTATGTTGCTCACAGGATGGCCTCACTGCGGACGGCCGCCCTCTGGCCCTTGATCATGGATTCCTCGCTCGAAGGCTTCTGGAACTCGACGTGCTACAGCGCAAGGCAGGATGAAACAGCTGGCACATCTCACTTTTCGGCTTTGTGCTGTGCAGGTAGTCAAGCAAACCATCATGACCATTTGCTATGGCGTCACAGCCGCACGCCCTGCCTTGCTTTACTGCAAGCACAGAGTCGGGCTGTTTGGCGGTCGAGGATTAATCATCTGCTTCTCTTCGATCCAGAACACCTGTGGATTCAGCTGTACACATGGGCCCAAGAAATCAAAGCGGACATGCTTGAGCCAAGCAAGCTCTCAGAAACGAAGCGTGATCGCAGATGTCGAGATGTCATGTCCCGTGTCATGTCCATGGCGAGTGTGATTACACATAAGAGTAAACCATCCAATGCACCAGGCCTGCTAATTGCTTGTATTGTACTTCTGGCAATGCCGAGCTTGGATGATGCATCTACGCTGCTGCTGGAAGCTGAAAGGCATATAGATGAAGAGGCGGAAGTTCGGAAAGAGGGTTTCGGGTTTGGGGTTTAAAGCTTGGGGTTTAGGATTTAGGGTGGAGTTGAGGGTTTGATTGCGTGAGGTCCAGGGACTTTATGGGCTTTGGGTTTCTTTTCACACTTGGGTTTGGGGGTTTAGGGCTGTCCTCCTTCGGAGGTCAGGGTTTGCCATTCTGATCACGCGCTTGGCCACGGTCTCATACTCTTCGCTCCTTTACGGAAAACGACTGATCTCCGCAGCTTGCTCCTTTCGAGTCTGAGGATTTTTTTCTCCCAACCACCCTTTGAAGGTTGTTCTTAGGTTCTCATGAAGTCCTGCACCCTGAACCCTAAACCCTAAGCCCCAAATTGTGCATGGGTTGCCCTCTTCTGGGTTATGTGGCGCGTGAAAAAGCGCACACCTTCGAAAAGCTCACAGCAAAGCAAGCGCTCTCCTCTTAGTTGAAGAAGGGGGGGTTGATAGGCTAGCAGCTGCAAATCGGGGTATTAAGGCTCCGGTTGCAGTTAAATGCAGGTAGTTGTCTCTTTAGCAGCCGCAGTGCCAACAGATTGTCATAGCATCCACTGCTTCTGTCGCAGGAAAGCCAGCTGGCAGAGCGGAAGGCAAGAGAAGCACTAGGCCTTCTCCGCGAGAAGCCCGATGCTTCGCCAGGTGCCTTTACATGCTGCTTAAGAGTTTTCGTCGTGTTTTTCGTTGGGTGTCCGGTGGCTTTGATGTAGTTAACAACGACACAACTTGAGGTCCTGCAGATGCCGTCAGGATGCTGGCCCTGGCTTGTCTGAGGCCTAGCTGCCGGGACTTTCGGCCTTTTGTGACTGCTCAGTTCTCCTTCTATGTCACACAGATTCACCAACTCAATTGAACGAGCCCATGTGGCGAAATTGGTGGCAAAAAGGGCATAAGGTTCGAAGAGCGTGAAAACTCAAGGTTCGGCCAGAGGCGACCGAAAGGCCGGTCTCAGCCTGCTCTCCCAAGAGCTGTCTGCCGGGCACGGTGGCAGCCGGCGGCAGAAGGCCCTTTGGAGGTTTGGTGTATCCTGTCTCCCTTGTGGTTTTGTCGGGTTAACTTTACAGCATTTTTCGAGTTGCATGAAGACTAGGCAGAGGACTCAACTCACAGGCCACCAGCGGCACGACACAAACACAAACACAAACACAGACACAAGCACAAGCACAAGCACAAGCACAAGCACACAGCACTTAAGTTGAAATTCAAACAGTCTCATCGACATGTGCTTTTAAGTTTGCCATCAGTTTCCAAAGCCTTCTTCCACCTCTCGGCAAATGCAGCACCAATCCCTCACATCCTGACCAGAAATCAGGTTTGCACATCCAAGCTGGACGTCCATACTTCCCGAATCAGTAGCGGCCACCTTGCGGCCTCGCCTTGCCCGCACAGGCTGTCCTGCGCCTGGCCTTCGCGGAGATTGCAAATTCGCGATGTGGCAGCAAGCGGCGGGAAGAGGCGCTCGAGGCAGCTCTGGAAGCGGTCCAAGCTTTCCGAGATCTGAAAGAACAGCGGCTAGAGGTGGGAGTGGGACGTGAACGCATTCGCAATGCATGTGACTGTAATATCCAGCCATGCTAGCAGATTTTTCCCCCCGGCAGGGCTGGGCATTGATTGCGCTAGCGCATACCCATGTCCAGAAAGGCGCGGGGCATGTCTTGAACGTAGGAACCAAGCCAGGAATTCAGACACTGGTTTCGGGAACCCCATGCAAACTTTCGGGAATAATGCACGGGAAGTCAGGAACCAAGTTCAAGAACCGAGTCTGCTAATTCAGGAACCCGACCCGGACAATTCAGGCACCTCCGCACGTCCTGGCTCAACTTGCAGATGTCGTATTAATGCATGAACATAAGTCCTGTGCAGCCTCAATGCCAGGGCTTAGGGATCTTAGGGTTTGGGCTTTTGAGGGCTCAGGGATTTAAGGGTGTTTTTGTTGGGCTCAGGGTTTTTAGCTTGTTGCGGGTTGAGGGTTTTCGGGTTTAGGGCTTCAGGGTTTTCAGGGTTCAGGTTTTCTAGGTGTCTCGTTTTGCGGTCGAGGGGCTTTTAGGGTTCAAGGTTGCGGGTTTTTAGGGTTTAGGGCTCTACTACAGCTTTCTTTTGTTTAGGGCTTTCGGGTTTTTAGGGTTGTTTAGGATTTTCCGGTGTTTCTTTGTGGGTTGAATGTTTTTGCGTTTCGGGGTTTATGGTTTTTAGGGTTTAGGGCTTGCAGGTTTTTCAGGGTTTGGGGTCTTCAGGTGTTTGTTTTAGTGACTCAGGTTTTTAGGGTTGGTTCCGATTCCCCGTACAGCCTCAACGTCCGGGTTTAGGGCTTTTAGGGTTTGGCTTTTTTGGGCTCGGGGTTTTGACATTTGTGAGGTTTAGGGCCGGAACTTCAGAGTTTAGGGCTTCAGGGTTTTCAGGGTTGAGGGTTTTCAGGTGCTTCTTTTAGGGATTAGGGCTTTTGGGGTGTAGGGTTTCGGGTTTTCAGAGCTTAGGGCTTTAGGTTTGAGGCTTCGGGATTTCAGTCTTATGGTTTAAGGTGTTTCTTTCAGGGTCGAGGGTTTTAGGGTTTAGGGTTTTCGGGGTTAGGGTTTTTAGGTGTTTCTTCCGGTGTCTAGGGTTCTTAGGGTTTAGTGTTTTGGGTCGAGTTTTTACGGTTCAGGCTTTAGGGTCTAATGCGGGTCTGAAAGATGTTAGGGTTTGTGGAGCTTTAGTAGGGTTTTTCTTCAGGGCTCTGGGGTTTCAGGCTTTGCAAGGGTTTCTGCTAGGATCCAGGGTTTTCAGGGTTGGGTTTAGGCTTGTTAGGGTTTATGGTTGTTGGGGTTTAGGGTCCAGGCGAGGGATTTTTTCGCTGGGGATTTTGGGGGTTAGGGCTTGAGAGTCTTTGTTCAGAGCTTTCGGATTTTGGGGTCTAGGGCCGTTGCGGTTTACCTCGGAACTTGCAAAAGTTTTTGTTGACAACCTTCTTGTGCTTGAGAAAAAGCGGCCTGAGGTGACATTCTTCCCGGTATTTCAAGGACATTTAAGGAGGGGTCTATCCTGGCCTGATTTTTCAAAAGGCGTTATTGTTTTCCTGTTTTTCTGCGGGAGGCCCCCCCCCCCCTCCCCCCGCCCCCGCGACCTAAGGATCACCCGCCACCTTTGCACTTGCATATTTTGCTTAAACGTAGGGATACTGCAACAGAACTTGCGCAATCACTGAAAACCCTAAACCCAAACCCGAATTAGCTTTCATTTCGTTTTGCGCAATGTGCCCTGACAGGCACCAAGAGCGAAGTTCCTGAAGAGCTAACGAAAGCTCTGGAAGCAGCGGCGGAAGCACAATATGTACTCAGAGAGGTTGGCGATCAAGTAGGCCCGGGCATGCTGTTTCTGTATTCGAAATTTCTGAGTTGAATGATGAATGTATGTCCAGGTGAAGGAAAAGCAATGCATACCACTGCGGTCGCTTGGCATTCGTGGTTGTACACCCTGTCATCGAGCCGAAGCTTCTGGGGCCGTGTGATTGTGAGAGTCCTGATTTGTTTTGACATGTTTTTTTTGATATGTTTGCCTGCGAGTCACGGCACTGCGAGCTTGGTGGGACGGGACAGGATGGGACGGGGACGCAGCGGGGTGCGAGTTTTGGCGGTGGGACCCCACGGGAGGGACACTGCGGACGGGAGGGACATTGCGGGAAGGTCAAGGATTGACGGGGTGCGATTTGGTCGTCGGACGCTGGGGGATGGACGTGAGCTTTGGCGGCATCCTGCCGCGGGTCGGGGTCCGGGACGGGACGGTACTGGGTTATATCTCAGAAAGACAAGGACCGAAAATCGGTCCGCTTCTTTTGGACAAGAAGTCTGCCGTAAAATTGCAAGGCAACTTCCCAAAATCGATTGCTTCACTCAGCAACATTCTCCCGAGCTCGCGTTCGTCGTGCTCTGATTGCGTGCGCTTGGTCGTTATTAGTGGTTACATAACTCACTAAGAGATGTCAACGGTTTGTCGCAGAGGTGACCTCTCATGGTCTCCGTGCTCGAATTCGAGCCTTTCGCCTGTTTCGAGGCGGTGCGAGGGGTCAACAAATCAGTTTGTTCCGGCACACGAACATAACAAACACTTTCTCAGATGCACTCGATACAGTCGTTTTGCCATGCAATCAATACGTGCGAAGTGTTGTAAAACGACAAGGTATGCTGGCGTGTCAGTAGTTTTGATGCCGCCTGTCGGTCAGTGTTGCCGGCACAGCGGTAGTGGGGATGATGAGCGTGATGGTGAGCCGTCACCCACCGCGCCAAACACGTAAACATGACGTCGTCAATGTTCGAGACCTTGCAGCGCACGGACCCGGCCAGCTTGGCGAAGAAAGACGTTTCTTCTCCAGCTCGAAAAGAGAGCTGGGGAGGCCCTGCTGGGCCAGGAGGCTTGAGGCCACCTCGGGATGGGATGCTGTGTGGTCTTGTGGAGGTCTAGGTCTTGTCTTGTGAAAGCGTTTGAGAGCGGATCTGTGTGCCTGCGTTATGGCTTTGCCCGAGGTTGCACTTTCCTTTCAGAACAACATCGACGAGGCAGTGGCAAGATCCAGAGAACTGGTTTCATATTGGCACGATCTTGGCTACACTCGCCTGGAGGCCGGGTGAGTCCGATGGCAGTTGTCTGTTAGTAGAGCATGCCTGGGTGAATTTGGCAGGCATTCCAGCAGGAGTGCGTGAGTGAGTGGGAGCTGCTGCGTCATAGGCCTGAGGAGGCTCGGGGAGCGGTCGTCAGTCTCTCATTAAGTCTCTCTAGCAAGGCATCATGTGGTATCATGTGGCATCATGTGGCATCATCTGAGGCGCTTGAAGCTGCCCAGGCAGCCTTGGAACAGAAGATGCAGAGGGAGGCCCAACGTGGAGCCCAGGCAGACCCCGTGCCTGCCCGATCTGCAGCAGCGCTGATCCACGCTTCAAATGCTTACCTCACCATGGGTAAGACGGACGAAGCGCTCAAGCTGTCTCAAGAAAGACTGGAGACCTTTCGACGGAATGCAGACTTCGAGAGCGAGATCGTTGCACAGTCCTCCATCGTCTCCGTATATGTGAACTCCGGGCGATTACGACAAGCTGCAGAGATAGCCGAGGAAACGCTGCGCAAAGTCCGGAGCCGGCCATCCTCCAGACTCCTGAAATGCTGGGAAGTTGACCTGCTGCAGACTCTCTCCAAGATCTACTTGAGAGCAGAGGATGTGGAGAACTCTGAAAAGATCATTGACCAAACCATTGCGGTTGCAAGCGAGCAGAAGGACCGATATGCCAAAACCTGATCCTTTGAACCACTTGGGGGTCGGGATTCTGATAGGACTTGATAGGGACTGGGCCAGTCCAGATCCTGCAAAGTACTTGCAGGACCGGAAGTCGCTGGCTGCAGCCTATTTGCTTCAATCAGAACTGGCCTTGCTCAAGAAGGAGAACCGCCTAGGATTGAAAGCCGCGATGAGATCGCGCGACTTGTCCAGGAAGACAGGCACCAAGAAAGGGGAGGCGGGCAGGGTAAGAGGAAGATCGTTGAACTTGTCTAGGTGAGGGCAATAAGAACGAATGCGAATATGATATCTGCGTAGCATTTTCCAGACATGCTCGTAACGTGACGGTCGGTGTGTTGTGTGGCATGTCTGCCATTCCTGCCAGGCCTCTGCTTTGCTGCAGTTGTGCTCGGCATACTGTGCCAGAGGTGAACTAAAACGAGGCGGGCGGCCCAACATGGCCCAACATATATCCTCATATGTCCTGATGGCAGCACAACTCGAAGCGAACAGACAGCACTGAGCGCAGCACGAGTTCCCTGGAAGGTGCTGCGGTCACTGTAGAGTCCCAGCGCATCTTTCATTCAGTGGGTGACCGTGAAGGTGAGGCAGACGCCCTGCGAATGCAGGCCTGATGCCATGGCATCTGGCCAAAGGGATTTAGAAGAAGGAATCTCTGCAAGACAATTAGGTCACATGTAGTATACAGAAAAAGAGCGTCTGGCATGACTGCTATTGTATGCCAGGCCGAAGTCCGCCTTCATTTGAATGACTTTCCCAGAGCAATCGCTGCCGCAAGAAGGCCGCAGAATGCCGATCAATCACAGCATGTGCTCAGGAATTCTGCGCATGTTGCGGTGCCCTGCAAGGTGTCGGGAACTGCAGCGTGAAATGGGTGACCGAAAAAGCGAAGCATGGGCGTGTGTGCAATTGGCGCAGACGCTGCTGTCAGCTGCATCGGACGAGGAGAAGCAGGAGCTAGATTTGCGAGCGAAGGCAAAGGAGGAAAAGGCAGGTCCACATACACACAGCAAATCGCAGCAATATAATTGGAATGCTTGGCGGGTTCTGGGAACTTGTTCCGTGCATCTCGCTGGTGTCATGGCTTCAGGCCAGAAACGAAGGAAAACTTCCCGACAATGTTACTCTCTTAGATTCCCTTGGCGATGTGTTCTTGCTCTGTCGGTATATGTCGGTATATGTGGGTATGGAGAGGTGAAAAGGCAGTGAGGGTCATGATGAGTCGACGGTACTTCAAGTCATTTCATGGCTGGCATGGCATTGCAGATCGCGTTCCGCGGCCTTGTTTCTGAGCTTAGGCTGGCGAGAGCGGTAACAGCGACTGGTTCCAAGCAGATGACGAGGCACAGCATCTGAGAATTGTGGCATTGTTGGAAGGGGGCTCAGTTTGCCTGTCTGCATGCTTGTTGCAAGGATGAGAACCAGGAAAGACCAGCCAGAGCAGCTTTCGAACGCGCCCTTCAAGCTGCAAAAGACGCTCTTCAGTTGTCGCGCCCACAAGAGGACACCGGCATGAGACTGGAACAGACTAAAGCTGTTTGCAGTTCTTCCGAAAAAGAGGTTAGGGGGACGAGGGAATGTGGTGGTAACATGAGACACGGAGGCAATGTGGTGTAACTTTCGTCACCTCAGCTTGCGTTACTGCTATTGGTGAGCATATATGGCTCCTTAAATGAGTGTAGACATTGGTTGTCCTTTTGAGGATACTAGTAACAAAACCCTCCAGTACTTCGCATCTTAATCCACAGTCCACGCTCAGAATGGACTAAGTGTTTCTTGCTATGCTGCCATTTTTTCTTCTTATTCTCCCCCCCCCCCCCCCTGTTGTTCTGCGCTTTTTTTCTCGGCCACTTCTTTCCTTGCTGTGCAGGGGGTTCTCTTTTTGCTCTTAAAGTCTTTGTGCTTATTCCCTCGTGATTTATACATTGCAAATTTGTGCAGACCTGGCATGGCCCCAGCCAAGGCGAAGCAACCCCAAACAGTTTTGAATCGTGGGCGCATGCTACGGTCACGAAGACACGAAGACACGAAGACACGAAGACACGAAGACACGAAGACACGAAGACACGAAGACACGAAGACACGAAGACACGAAGACACAAGACACGAAAACACAAAGACGCGAAGAAAGGCACGTACGAGGCGACGAAGAGGGGCTAACGAGAAGGGATGGTGCGGTGGAGGAGGGCCGGAAGAAGGTGATGCTAGATACCTACGATCCGAGGCCACGGCAGATTGTCCTACTTTCCTTTGTGCTCACCGATAGCCCCCGCCTCTCAATCCCCTACCCACGCCCACACGCTCAAGCCACGCAGGTACTCAAACCTACGCACGCACTCACACACATGCCACGGGCATCACCCACGGCACCCAAACTGCCACAATCCCCACCTCCACACAATTCACAGCATCCAAGCATAAAACAAACGCCCGGGGTTTGGCAGCATAAAAAGGCACTGCCAGCATGAAAACCACGGTTCAGAACTATTGCGCTTGCTGGTAGGAAGAGCGAGGGAAGGCTTGCATTCTTTGAGGACGAGCAGCTGCTGTCGCGGGCGCTGCTGCCTGTCTGCGTGCAGCGCCCTCCTTCTTAGGACTTGGTTTTCACATGTTTTCGCACACCAGGTTCCATTTTTCATTGGACGAAAATCTGCATGCACCTCATGCTTCGAGGTTGTCGCTTGCCACAGCGCAAATGATGTGCTTAGAGCCGGATGAAGCTGACAAGTCCATCGCAGAGGGTCTTCCCTTGGCACAGACGCTTGAATGTCCCATCAGGTTTCTGCAGACTATTTTTCTTTGGGAGGGTGATTAGAAGGTACAGGCTGCACCTCTCAGCAGTCAGGACGGTCAACGACTCCTCTGCCGAAGCCCACTACCTCCTTGTCAAGTCGCAACTCGCCGAAATCCGCGGCGCCAAGTCCCATCCGGAGGCAAGTGAGACACGTTGAGACACGTTGAGACACGTTGAGACAGGTGTCAGATTTGTTAAGCCACGCCACAGACACTCACAAACTGTCAGACTGTCAGGCGAAGGAGCTGGCGAACCAGGCTTTGCAACTCTTCACTGCGCAGAGAGATGAGTCTGGGGAGTCTGCTGCACAAGCAATCCTGAAACGACTTACGCCCAAGACTATTGGTGTGCGACCGACAGACACTGGCGGACGAAGCTATTATGCTGCTGAGGGTGATGAGGATATGGAGGAGTATTGGGAAGAGGAGGTGATAGAAGAAGGTGGTGGTGGTGGCGGTGGTCCCGTCGAAATCCAGCCTTACAGTGGGCCAAAAACAGATGAGATCGTGGCTACTGTCAGTGACGTGGCGCTGAGTTTGATTGGTGTGGAGACTCTCGATGCAGACGAACCACTTATGGACGCAGGTCTTGACAGCCTGGCTGCTGTGGAGTTTGGAAATACACTGGCAAAAGAGTTCTCTGGCGTGGCCCTTCCATCGACGTTGATGTTCGATTTTCCTTCAGTCAAACTGCTATCAGGCTTCATCGACTCCGGCATGCGGGAAGCCCACGAGAAGAGTGAGGCTCTTCGGGTGCAGAACGCTGCAGCAGGGGGAGGAGGAGGGGGGGGACAGAGAAAAACCCGCATGGTCAGAAAGTTTCGGCCAAAGCCTGGTGGTGGTGGTGCAGCGCGCCGAAGGCAGATGGCCTTCAATCAACAGGCCATGCCTGTGCAGATGGTCCCTGCTATCCCGCAGGCAGCCTCGCAGCAGGTCCAAGAGGCGCAGCCATATAAAGGCCAGCTTCCAACCTCAAGTTTTGCCAGTTGTTTATTCATCTTCGCATAACGCAGTGCATTAGTTTCAGGGGGCTTTTTGTGCCTGGGATTTTGTGGTCATCTGTTGGATAGCCTGCCAGTCGCTGAAAGGCCCCTCGTTGGCTGAGATCGAAGACGTGGTTAAAGACACTGCTTTGTCTCTCATTGGAGTTGAGACTTTGGACAATGATGAGCCGCTCATGGATGCAGGTCTTGATAGCCTTGCTGCCGTTGAGTTTGGAAATGCCATTCAGAAGGATTTTGTCGGCTTGAACATGCCAAATACGCTGATGTTCGATTATCCTTCAGTCAAAGCGTTGACACAGTTCATCAATGACGGATTGATAGAAGCGCATGGGAAATGAGCACCATCTCGACTTTAGTGATCGTCTTCAGCAAACCCATCTTCCGCCTGAGCCCAGCGAGTGAAGCCAAAGACATGGGGTCAATCCGACCGTGCTCGAAGCCAGTCGGAAAACGTGTTCCGCCGTTGGGAGATGTCCTTGTCTTGTGTCCCTGATTGTCACACGTCAGTGCGATTCCTGCACGCAATTCTGGCCAGGTTGGAGCTCGCAAGCAGGTCCAAGGCCAAATCGAGGATATGGTGGGTGACAAGGCATCTGCATGTAGTTTCGCATGGATTCGTGTGCAATTCTCGAGCTCTTTGTTGTTCCATTGCCAAGCAAGATATTCAGCCGGAAATCTCTTGCCAGGTCGACCCTGATGAGATCTTGCATCTGGCAAAATACCTGTCAAGGCCCGGGCGGTTTCATGTGATTCCCCGGGATTCCTTTCCTGCTTCCCTCTAAGCTTCAAAAGGGTACAAGGCTTGGCACGCTTCAGACTGCGTTGGAGACTTGCAGCGGCGACATGAGCAAAAGACGCGGCGGTACTGAAAAGCGCGAAGCAGTACGCCGCTGCCCCCAGGTTGGTGTTAGCTTCCATCGATGAGGTTTTCGAGCAGGCGAAGAAGATCCAACAGTGGTTGAACCAGATCACGCGGCTCTTCAGCAGGCTGCAGGCGAGGACAATCTAGGGAGGTCCCAGCAATCCGAATGCAGGAAGCGTCCCCGAATGACCGAGTGACGGTCAGACAGGCTCCAAATGCGTGGATCTCGCCTGTCGGCTTGAACTGCGTGCAGCCCTACCGACAGCCACGGACGGCCGTGGTCCAGAGCAAGCGTCAAAGGGCCCCCTGGCACCTAGAGAACTTCAAAGACTCGCCTTTCTGATTGTACGATGTCCATGCAAGCACTTTCAGCAAGGTCTCGCTGAGAATTGGCGATTCCCCGATGGTATCTCCGGCCAAGCAAAGAATGGGCTTTCCGCCCAACTTCATCCATTCGCTTGATGTGGCTCGGTCCATCTGCACTTTTTTTTCCTTTGATCGCGAAGCACCGCGAAGCATCGACGGATCTTCAGCAGCGCTTCTGTGCTTCTGTGCGGCGCGCTCCACCTTTTCTGAGGCCTCCCACATGATGATGGTTGCGGAGGCCTGCGAGCGGGATGGCATCACGTTTGCAGCAGTCCCCCGGCCTCGGAGGATGGCATAGGATGGCCAAAATGGCGATCTTTTATATGCCGGCCGATTTTTTAAATTGCATGAAGGGAACCTGTGAAGTTTTTAAGTCATGGTTCAGAAGTTCAGGTGCATGATTCGTTCTGGACGCACGCTTGTGACACCGCCAAGCTCAACGAGCTTACTCGTGCCGGAAGCTTACAGTACTTCTCATGCCGAAAGGTCTAGACGTTAGAGAATTTTCTTGGAATGGACGTGTAGGATGCTTTCATCGAGCTTCACAGCAAGCCAATCCTCACTGAGCTCTACGAGGACACGAAGGTTTTTTTTGCTCCTGCGTGCTGGCACGCAGCTCCCGCCCACAGCCGGCCCTGCGGCTGACGATGAAAAAGTATCAACAAATGCATGCCCTGCGGCATTGAATTGCCCATCTGTGGCGCATCAATCCCCAGGAGGTGGCCTATCGACGCTGTCGACTCGTACAATCCCATGCAATCCCATACAATCGTACATTTACATCGTTCTCCTCCTTCGCGGAGCATGTGGAGCAGCTTAGACAGCCTGCACCTCCGCCCGGCCACAAGGCCGCGTTGGCCATCATGATAGCTGTGGCCGCACTTGCAGGGCGACCCCTTGTTACAGCATCGTGCGCAAACACAGGGCATGCAACGGCCCTGGTTTGCCGACGTCTTTCCGATGTTCAAGAAGGCTCCTCAGGGGGCGACGCGCACACGCGCACACACGCACGCGCACGCACGCACACGCACGCGCACGCACGCGCTCACGCGCACGGCGCGCGCACGCGCACGCGCACGCGCACGCGCACGCGCACGCGCACGCGCACGCGCACGCGCACGCGCACGCGCACGCGCACGCGCACGCCCACACACACACACACACACCCACACACGCACGCACGCACGCACACACACACACACACACACTCTCACTCACTCACTCACTCACTCACTCACTCACTCACTCACTCACTCACTCACTCACTCACTCTCTCACACACTCACACACTCACACTCTCACTCACACTCACACACACACACACACACACACACACACACACACACACACACACACACACACACACACACACACACACACACACACACACACACACACACACACACACACACACTCACACACTCACACACTCACACACTCACACACTCACACACTCACACACTCACACACTCACACACTCACACACTCACACACTCACACACTCACACTCACACACACACTCACACACACACTCACACTCACTCACACTCACTCACACTCACTCACACTCTCACACACTCTCACACACTCTCACACTCTCACACTCTCACACTCTCACACTCTCACACTCTCACACTCTCACACTCTCACACTCTCACACTCACACACTCACACTCACACACCCACACCCACACCCACACCCACACCCACACCCACACCCACACTCACACTCACACTCACACCCACACCCACACGCACACGCACACGCACACCCACACCCACACCCACACGCACCCGCACCCCCACCCACACCCACACGCACACGCACACGCACACACGCACACACGCACACACGCCCACACGCCCACACGCGCACACGCGCGCACACGCGCGCACACGAGCACACGCCCCACACGCGCGCACACGAGCACACGCGCGCACACGCGCACACGCGCGCACGCACACACGCACACACGCACACACGCACACACGCACACACGCACACACAACGCACACCCACCCGCACGCCCAACACACACACACACACACCCACACACACCACACCCACAAACACACACACACAACACACACACCCACAAACACACCAGCACACACCCACACACACACACACACACACACACACACACACACACACGACACACACACACACACACACCCCACCACACCACAACAAACACACACACACACACACACACACACACACACACACACACACACACACACACACACACACACACACACACACACACACACACACACACACACACACACACACACACACACACACCCCACCACACACACACACACACACACACACACAC